TTAATAAATGTTCCACCTAACAACCTCGTAAGGCACAAGAATATTGAAACACTCACTACTAACATGCCGAGGTTGCAAGAAGAGAGAAGCTGGAGAATAATATAGTAATGTTCAATGATAATAAGTAAAAACAATTATGTCACATTTGAATCACATTATATGAATAAAACTTTCCACATTTCTGAATGGGATGACCTAATATAACCTCTCTCTCTATCTGAAGGTTGAGGATTCCCCAATGTATGACGTGCCCTGGCGCATCCCTTGGCACAACTAGTGACCTTGCAGGAGTACGAATGAATCAGCCTAAGGATCACTGCCAAACGTTGCTTGTATACCTTGAAAAGGCTTTTGCGCCGCCTGCAAGTCCTAAGAAGCTACATGAGTACTGTAGAGTAACGCTCTTGGTGCGTTTTCGAGGGAGGGATTTTTAATGGAACTAGAACAGCGAGACGATTTTCAGGAGGTAATAGCACCACTTGAGCTCACAATACAATACTGCACGGAAAGATTCACACATTTGACCCAGCAAAAGGGAAATAGCGACAGAAAATTCGAGGAGTCTCAAAACAATAGTTCATGGCAAGTCGGATCTCTGATAAAAGGCCTCTCGAGAGGTTCGTAGGCAGACAATCTAGCTTTCGTTCATTGTAGAAAGACCCAAATGTGGCTCAACTGAAAGCAGCCTCAACCGTTTTCGGAACAGAATCCAGCTAGGAAAATGTGGTCATTCCCGGGTGACCCTATTCCCTTCCCAGCTGGAAGAGACAAATTCAGACGAGAAAAACTACATTAAACGAATACCATGATCGCAAAAAAAATAAAGAAACCAGGACAGGGAATAAGATTCCAAGGCACAATTTCATGAATCGACAGTAAGAAAATATCATTTCATTTATTCATAGATTTTTCAAACACATTAAACATTTCATAGCAAAGCTATTTCGCCTAATAATTCAACATGTTCAAAAAAAACATCAACGATAGAAGAACAGAAGAGGAAATATAAAACATCTAAGCGAATGTAATCACTGATACTCGATGACAGAGCTAAGAAGGACAGGGCGTTTCGTCCCAGAGAAAACGTTTATAAACAAGTACATGTCACAAAAAAGTAAGTTCACCACTAGATAAAGTCCTAAAAAACCGTGCCTATAACAACCTGTGTCGCAATCTGACAGATCAACATCATCGCAACAATAATTAATTAATTAGTTCAACAAAAAAAAACCGTGAAAGAGTCCAACATAGACAGACCAGTCAGTGCGATTCACATCTTAACTTTGAGCTGTTTCATCTTCGGTTGCTTTGCTTTCGCTTCTCGTTTCATTTCCAGTTTCTGAAAAGGTCATAATTTAAGATAGCACTGCCATGCTTTTCTACATTCCGTGTACTGATAGTAACCAAACAACACGAAAATGGGGTGCTGCTCAGTGTGAAGGAGGCATTTTGCACTTGGAGGGACCTGTAAATTCCTGCGAAGCTAAACCTAGAGGAATGGGACTGACTGCTTATAAAACTTGTCGCAACTAAAGACATCGAATCGAAAAAGCATCTTTTGTGCACAATCTAGCGGCGCTCAAGGCGAGATACGCCTTGTACCCCGGAAATGAATGTATACCAAAAAGAAAATTCCGAAGGAACAGTGAGAGCTAGCAATCCGTTCAATAGAGAACTAGGAAACAAGAAAGAAAGGGAAGCACACCTCGAGACGCCTTTGTTTCTCGGGATCTTCTTCCTCCAATAGACGTTGTTTTCGCTCCCGAGTTTTCTCTTCACGTCGAGCCTGAAGAGCAAAAACTATGGATATCAAAATGGGTAGCCAATAGAACCACGCGTTCCTTGCACGTACTAAATACTGACGCAAGACCCTTGTAGTATAGCTATTAGTAAAACAAGTCGTTTCAAAGCAAAGAATGAGCGTAACTCCTCACCTGTGCTGCTTCTTGTCTCAGCTGATGAGTGGTTTTGATGAATGCCTCCTCCACTTCGCGCCTTCTCTTGTCCGCTTTTTG